ATAAGTTGTGCACAACTCTTGTGCAGATAAAGCGCATTTTTTTTACCAAAATCACCAATGGATACATTTCTTGCAGACGTCTCAATCGCCCTTTGTGAGTACCCTTGAGGTATAAGGGAATACACCCGATCACGATAAGAGGTCGAGGAGGAGGGCTATGGTTGGTAGAAATTAATTCCTTTCGTTGAGACCTTTCATTAGAGTACCATGAAGGACCTTTTAGACAGCGAAATTTGATAGCCGTCTGGCACGCCTTCAAGGTATAGGCTACCTACTGCAAAAAATTTCAGGACTCTAGGACCATTCCCCTAGAAGTAGTTCAAAACGGTAGAAGTGGGTCCGGGCGGACAAAACGCAAACAAACAATAGCACATTTTTTTTAATTCTTAAAAATTGCGCTAAAAACATTGTCAACGTGGTCCCTTTGCCGTTTCAAAAATGTCGTTTTAAATGTGGATTTTGCTAAACATTGGGAACTTCACACATATACCGCGTCATAGCGAACGTGAACCAAAGTATGTCTGGCGATAACAAGAAACGTATTGGGGAAGAAAATGCGGTTGCCAGGTTCTCTTGCGACCTAAAAGTTTAAAGCCGTCAGCCGAGCACGTGCCGTAAATACGAGTTTTCTATTGGTTGTTAGGGCACGCCGGTCGAGATCATTTGCGTTCAGAAATAAATCCCTTTCCGGTTTTTCTGGTGGGCAAGATTCAAATAGCATTTTCTAAGCAGAGGTAACATCAATTTGTTACCAGACGAGAATATTACCATTTGAAATTTTTTGATCTGTATAAAGTCGAGGAGTTGATTACGGGGGAAATTCTTGTCTCCTGTATAGGAAATTTCGAGGAAATAGCTGGAAAATATGTAGGAAATGGACGAAATTAGAGGAAATTCTGGGGAAATAGCAAATTTGGTGGAAAGGAAGAAAGGAACGGAATGAGGAAGTTCAAGGGAAATATTAGGACAATTTGATGAGATTCTAAACATAATTCTAAGCAGAAATGGTCGTACTTTTTAGACAGTGAAGCAAATCTTTCTCCCCTAAAATAAGTAGTGACCAACCCCTCGTACCAAGTAGTAGTCGATTATTTTTAGGAATTTGTAAGTAGTTTTATTCGAAGTAATTTTGATATTCCTAAAGGAATCGACCCGTGAAAATTATTTGCATGAAACAGATTTTGGTTATTTTGCTTCATTGATTGGGAATTTTGCATTTTATTTCAGTGATACCATTCCTTTGGTTGGATTAAAATTTTGTTTTGCATTCAGAGGTGTGCATCTATTAACATAAGAAGGTGCCAGGAATTTATTATGTATTAAAAATGACAGTTTAAATAACGATTCTTTCTACTATTGCTACATGATCGAGGTAGGCATTGCATTTGTTTTTTTATTTCTTTTTATGAATTTAACTACTATTTTAGTGAGTTGTAGAAAACTTGGGAAAGTGAAAATGTAGCCATTTTGGAGCAGGATTATTCAATCAAGTTTTGTGTCAAATTGAGCAAAACTGCTACGGAGACGTGGATGTTTCAGTATTATTCTGAAACCAAGCGACAGAGTGCGGAGTGGCACACCAACCAGTCTCCAAGGCCGAAAAAGGTTCGCCTGAGCAAGTCGGTAATGCTCACTGTTTTTTTCGACGTCAAAGATTAGTACAAAGAGAGTTTGTACCTGCTGCCCCTGGTGGTCAAACTGTCAATAAAAAAATTAACACAGAAGTGTTCCGCCCCTTGAAGGATCACGTCCGCCAAGTTCGTAACAACAACGTCACAACCCCACCGCAGCCACCGTACAACACATACCATGCTCCCAGTTACGTTTTTTTTTGTTCCGCGGATGAAGAGAGACCTGAATAGTGTACCGATTATAGAGTTTCGTTTGCGTCTGGTCCGTCCGTCTGTTTGTTCGTCCGGACCCACTTCTGTGGTTTTGAAGTACTTTGAGGGAAACAGTCCTAGAGTCTGCTCCCCCCCCCCCCCGGCAAAATTATTTCTTGAGACTGTTTTTGAAAATATGTACGCATGCCTTTAGTGGTGCCAAGGAACATTTTTGAAAAAAGGGGGGGGGAGGTAGGGACCACGCGTTCTACCCTTCGTGGTTATTCTAATGAAATGACCCATCGAAAATGAATTGGTTGGCATAAACTATACTGCGCAATTGCCCGTGACTGGGAGGGGGGGGGGTTGCTTTATCCTTCATAGTACTCTAATGAAAGGTCTCATGAAAGGAATTAATTTTTACCAACCATTGTCCTTGTCCACTACCCCTTAACGCGATCGCAAAGAAAACCGCCTGGAAGAAATATGGGTGCTGGTGAAACGAATATCTCGAAAACGGTTTGTCGACAGAGAGGGTACCTACAAAGGGAATAAAAATATTTAGGAGAATTTCCCTAAAGACTCTTGATTCTTCTTAGTTTTGAATTTCAGATAAAGAGCCAAACTTCCGCGTAAAAGGTTGCAGTCGAGGTTGCAGCGAACCTCGTAACGGAAAAGAAAATTGGCCACTGCTAGCAAGGGGAAACGGGTCTTCTGGTGAAACAATCACCGACGTTTGACAAAGCTCATATAATTTTGGGCGTCAGGCCTGAAAAAACAGTAAATAAATTGGCAGTCTGTGCAAGGTTACCCTTAACTAAATGCAAATTTTCAGCTCAGCTCAGTACTTAGAAGCTATATGTAACTTAATCTAATCTCATTCACAAACAGACAAATAAATAATTACCTTGCGCTAAAACTAACGACAAAGCCAAGAGATAAATTAAACTGCAATTTACAGTTTATTGGACAATAGCAACTTCTATATTTCATGTAATCACTTGCAGAGCAAAATTCGTCACGACGTTAGTAAAGATAAACGGCCAGATAAACAAACGTCAAAGGCAATTATCAACAGGTATCATCAAGTTTGCAATTTCCGATATTTCCAATAAACATTTGCGTAGCGATACTTCAATTTTAATCTTTGTAATAAATCAGTTCCAGCTAATCCACAGTTAGTATGCGTCAATTCGAAAGCGAGTGGGCATTTCATCCAGAACACGGTAATTCTTTACTGCGATAACCCCAATGCTAGCAACGTACAAGGAAAATATATCCAAAAACTATAGTCTATAATGCCAAAACACCGACCGAAATCCAATTAGTTTGAACTTACGTACCCCATTAATAAATGGGTTGCGGATTACAATATAAATAAAACAAAGATAGGGAATTAAATTAACGCATATATGGCATAACCTAAAAAGCAACGTGTTAACAAAGAGGAATTATATGAAAATAACATTACCTCAAGAGGATTACAGCCATTCCCCATTCGTGTGCAGACGCTTCGATAATTAGTTTAAACAAATATTTTTTTAAGATTGTTTTTTTTTACACCTAGACAACGTAGAATAAAACACGCTCTTATTTGATGCTGGACCGAAAATCTCTCGAATGTTTATTTTTTATCGGGTCTCGAAGCCTTGTAAGCTTTTTGTCTCAGCCACCGAAAGTGGAAGCGCTTATTACACCACTTTTCCGCCCGTCTGTCCCTGTTTTTACCCTATAGCCTTATTACACCTTATGCAGCATAGCATTCAATCAAGAGTATGTTCGTGTACCTACCATTATTGATACGAGCGCTTTGTAGATTTGTATCTTGAAACATGTGTATTGCCAGTACTGCATAAATCATCCTGTATAGTTCTAACTTTCTAATACAGCCGTTATGACATTTTGATGAGAGTAAAGTGGGACTAGTTGGAGGCCAATCTATACTGGTTACAGGGTAGCAGCATATTTTGATTATTTTTGGGAAGTTCATTTCGACATTCAATGCCGGATGATGAAAATCTTCACTGTTCAGTATCAGAGTGTGATACATCCAGAGCTGGGAAGTAATCGATTACAATTGTAATTGATTACAGTATTTAATTACTTTCTGTGTAATCAGTAATCAGTAACTAAATACTTTTAAAGTACTGTAATCAGTATTGTAATTTAATTACTTTTCTCAGTAGTAATCGTAATTAGTAATCATATTGTAATCATGAGTACAAAAGTAGTCATGGTTAGGAACGTAATCAGGAATACTAAGGTACCTAACCATGATTACAATAGAGTAATTTAGTTATCTACCTCTATGTCTGTTGTACTTATTTGTTTTGATTCTATTAGTTGATGAAGTACTGTGTAATTTCGCCTATTTTTAACATGCCTATTTAGTAAAAATTAGGTGTAGCATGTACATAAATTCCAATTTCTACTTCCAATCCAAGTGCATCGGTTACTATAGATCTTTAACTTACTTATGGAATATCTGACTTTATCGAAATATCTTTAAAATATCAATGAACGTTAAAAAATATGGATAGGTACGTGTAAGATGTACCTACCTACCTACATAAGTTTAAAAATAAAAGTAATTGTAATTACAATGCTAAAGTAATCGATTACAATTGTAATCAGTAATCGAATACAACTTTTCTGAAGTAATTAATTACTGTAATTAAATACTTTTATGACAAAGTAATTGTAATCAGTATTCGATTACTTTTTTTGAGTAATCATCCCAGCTCTGGATACATCATCCAGCAACCTATTATAATCTTCTATGAATTATGACGCAGTACGCAGTTTATCTCGAGTTGATTCATACAGTGAAGAAGTGAAATTTTCAATTAAATTTACTTTAAGGTCATTGTCAGGTTGATCGACAAAATCGATTACTTATAAGTTATACGTATTAAAATCTTCCTGATTGGATATCTTCACTCGATCAAAAGAATTACAATCGGCGGTGGCTCGATTTGAACTAAAGCCCTGTATAAGAAACGTCTTAATTAAAGATCTTTAATAATAGTCTTCGCGTTTGCCCCCAAATCTTCCTAAAGGCCATCAACATTTATCGGAAAGAATTAATATCAGTGTTTAGCGTCTTAATCTAAGGACTTCTATAAATACATCGAAAATAATATGCGACATTAATTAATACACTTAACGTTTACTTACTTAACACACCCTTGGTTTTACGTTCACTATCTACGGCCACAAATGATGTCACGACAAAGACATTTGCAATATCAATTATAACCTTGTAAATTGACTATGTAACAGCAGCAAATGTCAACGCACTATTCACAATTCGCGATTGTCGGGGCCTCGGCGCCTATCATTCACACACAACTCCGAAAAACAAATGAATGACTCCCGACTCGTTTTTGTTTAATGTGTGCGGGCAGACATCGCACATGATCCTTAGCATTACGTTACGTCAACGAGAAAATAAAGGAGGCGCCGGATTTACTCCGCGGCGATGCGGGTGGGAACGAAAAGCGCGGTGTTATCGTCGTAATTTGTAACACCAACACAGCGCGCCCGTTTATTTTCAATTTGAAAACAAAGAGAACGTGTCCTACTCAACTCTCGAGGAATTGGTATTCTTGGCTTGGTGCTGTAAAAAATGAAGGCGTCGTCTCGCTCGCGGCGTGACTGTGTTTTTTTGTCCTTACTTTTTATCTGTAGATAAAGTCTATGCGTAAGTTTCCGCACAATAATACTGCCTTGTATTATCTTAAGCATACAGTACAGTCGGTGACGTATAAACTCAATTTTCCTTAATTTGACGAGTTAGAATTGCGGAAGAAGAACCAGACCGGTGTCAAGTTAGCTCCTCACTTTTGGAATTTTTATTGCAATCGTTTGTTGACCGTTTGTTAGTTACTTTTTCACGTTTGTTGGTTGATCGTTATTGAATTAATCAAAATTCAAAAATTTGGGCGCAAAACAAACGACCAACAAACGATTGCAATAATTCTGAAAATTCCAAAAGTAGGGGGCTAACTTGGCACCGGTAAAATTTGGGCGTATAGTTAACCCCCCCAAGTTGCAATATTTCATTTTTTTAAGTTGCAATCGTTTGTTGGTGTTTGGTGGATATGTATTTTCAGACTAGGAGGATTCATAAACTATTTGCCTTCCCATTCATTTTAATGCACATTGCTACCGAGCTGATGGGCGTTGGAACTTGGGAGCTTTATGATGACACAAATACAAATGTAAAGACTTGTTCATCGACCACCACTATTCTTCCCCACGTCCACGATACAATTTACACCAGAATCTGAATAAGATTAAATATACAGTGTGTCCCAGATCGGGTGGGATTGCATGGATAACTTTCTTATTATTAAAGATAGAGAATTGGTTAAATTGACAATGTTTTCCAGCTTTAGATGCTTATTTAAAATTTCCTTGTGGAAATTCAAAATGTCGAATATGTTCGAAGTACCTACATTCAAAAAAACTAAAATTGGTCATTTCCTTGGATGTCATATCATCGAAAGTATAAGAGATATAAAAAAAAGTTTTATATAAAAGTTACTGTCTTTGATACGCTTCATTTAGAATTGATGTCAAAAAAAATTCAAGATGGCTACTTTTAAGGAACAACTAACTTTCTACAGTTAAATAGGCGCCATATTGGATTTTTAGATTAATTGATAGATTTTTTAATTTTCTTTTCAACGACGTATCATAGCATATGATTGAAAATATGATACCAGTTATATCAACGGTTTTTCTATTTTAATCATAGTAGTCTGTGATGAATTAAAAAAAAAAACAAAACAAAATCTATTCGAGGCAACAAAACAATGAAAATAATTACATCAGATGTTTAAAATATCAGGGGCGCACTCATGGGAGGGGGGTTTGGTGGGCGTTACTCCCTCCAAAATTTTATATAAGTAGGCATAGAAAAATTTTGACTTTTATGACGTCACTTATTGACTATCCTATTATCCATACTTACATACCTACAATATAACTACAAACCATCCCCTTAAAAATATGTCATGCTATTAGACACCTCGCTTTAACTATAATAATAATAATAATAATAACGTGCATAACTGCGCGAAGCCGTTCTAAAGGCGTGTTCTAGCATCAATGGCCACACGTTGCCTAAAGTAAACTGTCTTGAAGTGTGTTTCACTAATAATGGCCTGTATTTTAAACATCTAATGTAATTAATTTCATTGTTTTGTTGCCTCGAATAAATATTGTTTTGTGTTTTTTTATTCATCACGGCCTACTTGATTAAAATATAAAAACCGTTGATATAACTGGTAGGTATCTTATTTTCAATCTTATGCAATGATAGCTCGTTGAAAAGAGAATAAAAAATCTATCAAATAATCTAAAAATCCAATATGGCGCCTATTTAACTTTAGAAATTTAGGAAATGTTCCTTTAAAAGTAACCATCTTGAATTTTTTCAACATCAATTCTAAATGAAGAGTATCAAAGACAGTAATTTTTATATAAATCTTTTTTTTATATCTGTTATACTTTCGATGATATAAGACATTAAAGGACATGACCAATTTTAGTTTTTTTTAAATCTACGTCGAACCTATTCGACATTTTGAATTTCCACAATGAAATTTTAAATAAGCGTCTAAAACTGCAAAACATTGTCCATTTAACCAATTCTCTATTTTTAATAATAAGAAACTTACCCATGCAATCCCACGCGATCTGTGACACACTATATTGTCTATAGAACCCCTTGCTTCATGTTTCTCTGTACAGACCTAATTACTAAATTGTCACGTTACTCTTTCAAAGAATCACTATTCATCGTTAATGATTCAAAATGAGATTCTCAGGCTTTATCTATTACGCTGGTGGCCAGTGATAGTGATCAAGAAATTGCGTTTTTGAGTCTATCTTTAAAGTAGTGTATATTGTTGTGTGCACTGATCCGTAGGCCAGAAAGACCGTACACAAAACACCAAAACCAAACCCTAGCTAGCTCTTGCCCTTTACTTATCACGGAACAAAACTTCTTCCCAGCAAAGAGGAGAGATTCGACTCTGCTCTCAGTTAACCTGTTTACTTCTAACAGATAGTAGGTCAAACCAAATACCTTAAACTCCAAACTGAACTGCAAAATTTTGAATAATTAAAATGGACCTTGAGCAAGCATCCAATAAAAAAACAGTTAAATTAGAAATGAAGTCGTTACAATGAAACACACGGAAAATTAATGTGAAAATTACCAAAGGAAAATGGTACAAAAACACAAACAATTATTACAAATAGACTAAAATTATGACATTAATTTGTCCGGGAATTGGAATATCCAAATAAAAGGTATTCACAAAAAAACTTCAATTCAAGACGAAAAAAAATTCGGCGTTGTACTAAGCATAAACAAACGTAACTCGGCGCTGAACGTAACAAAAAGCTGATTTTAAATCTTCAACGGAACGTATTTCTGCGTACGCTGTGGCTAAAAGCGACGCTTTTCTTGTTAACGTCCTATTTAAGGCCCCTTCTTCCGAAAATAAAAACAATCATACAAAGTTGACAACAAAGAGAGAAATAAAACTATCCTATCAGCGATCGTTATTAGGCCAAGAAAATTAGGTCGATTAAATTTCCAAATCAATTTGTTATCAGACATTAAAAGATAAATGCAAACTTGAATTCTAGGAAAAATAAAATTTCATCTCTCTTAACTACACAGAAAAGGTGATAAATCACATCTACCTGTCTATTAAATTAAGCAATTACATTTGATAACAGATAAAGACCCATAAATTCCCGGAACTTTCTACGTTTAAATAAAATCTAAACAAAAACAACCTTGACCGCTTTCTCGTATGACATAATAATCTCCATGCCGTTACAGACCAACGACAATTAATAAAATTTAACTACGAATGTTAATTACACAAAAAAGGAGACCGCCCTTGTCCACCTTAATTAGGATTTCCGAAAATTTCATCAAATAAACACAGCAATATGTTACGGCTAAAGTGTTTACGTGGCAAGTTTATAGACTATCTGGATAGTATGTAAAGTATCCAAATGTATGGTTATTTTAGTGGGAAATCAGGAAGATAAAAATTGCCTCTTTTTTGCATGGCCACTTCGTTATTATGTAAATTACATATAACTTATTTAAGATTAGAATATAAAAACCAGGAAAATCAAGATATTTCGAAAACTATCAGAGATAGCTATAAGACATTATTATCAAAAGATGAAGGTTTTTGGAGGTGCTAGAAGATGACAGGGTGTTTCATTACAAAAAAGTGAGATTGTTTAATATGAAGTTTTGTAACTTTGGATCTACAAAAAAACACCCTGGAAGTACAATTACATTACATTAAAAAATGCATTCAAATACAGGGAGTTCTATTTAAAAAATGTACCATTTTGGCGCCCTACTTTGTGAGCGCACCTTGTATAATTCCAAATATTTTTAAAACGTGGAGAATATTCAACCATATCATAATACAAAAAAGCACTCTATCGAAAAATCTTATCTTCTAGAATCTACGCATTAAGTTACTCCGCGCAATCGTTGACTCACTCTGTACATTGCCAAAAGTCGTATTAATTTGCTGATATATGTATGCGCCGCTTTATTATTAAACACTAATTGTTCAAATTCCCACAGGAACATTTTTGTTGGCCTTTTACAGAATTATTAATTATGTTCAATTTTTTATTGGTAGATAATTGAAACTTGGTTGTTTTGGATTTCTTTTTTTTTTGTGCATCTTTTTCTTAACACGTGACTCACGCATATTCCGTTTGTGATCATGATGCACTTTTGCGTCAAGCATGCGAAAATTGTTTAACGATCTTTTAAAAGTGTACTCAAAGCTCAAATCCCCTAAATTCACGGCGCGTTTGCATTCTTGTGATCTTTTTTCAAGAAAGGGTTCTGCAATCGTTTCCCGTAGAACACTGCATTTTTCGACAACGGTCATACCACGTTGAAAACACCTTGTTAGCAGTGGTATTAATACGAGGGAAATTTCCATTTTTGAGGGAAATTCCGCAGCTCTTTTGATGGTGTGCGGAAATGTAGGGAAATGCGAATTTCGGCCATTTTTGGGGGAAATTTGCGAATTTCCACAATTTTCGAGGATCCATTATCCGGTTTACTTATTTTTCGCAATGGCATTAGGCGTTTGCACTGAATTTAACACCTGGCCCGGCACGCGTCCGTGGCATCTATACCCTATACCATAGTATGCAACCAGAACCATGTCCACGCGCCAGCCGCGCGCCACTGTACTCATATGCATAACCTCAAACTCTTTCCTTGTCTAAGACCTCAAACCTGTTGGCCTGCTTCGTTTTTCGATGTTTTCGTTTTCATGTTTAATATTTGTCTGCTCCGTGGTCGATGGTCCGAAGTGAGAGGGAAATATGGCAACCTGGCAAGGGAAACGTCACCGAAAATATTAACAACAC